TGATGGTGCTTCCCATACTTTCCGTTATAATTATACGTACTAACCAGCCTACATGAGTGTTCTTACCCCCATCCACATTTCGAACCCCACATGACAAATTGGTGGAATGACAGACCGACCCAGACACTGAGACACTATAGTTTTACTCATGATTCCCTTGATGCGTTGCCTTTATTCAATGGCCATGTACATAGTCCTGAAGCATGGTTTACTGCCATTCGTTCTCGTGTTAATGCTCTAGTTGACGGTTCTCCTTCAGAGGAAAGTCTTATCAGACTTGCAAAAGAAGCTCTTCATCGGTTCACGTTGTTGATCTCCTTGAAATGCGAGACTTCCGGAATCTTACTAAGTGGTCACAATATGAGGAACTGATTCGTTCTTTCCTTGTACCAGTAAAAACATGCTATGGTCAGCAGCAACGTGAATAACAGTCAGTGATTCACACAGACGGTTGGTAGTGAGTCATCTACTGGTTACTGGTAACTGGTACTACTGAGAGTTGTGCGAATGATAACAAAGAACTGATTGTGGATGTTATGAGTGAAAAGAAGCTGGATGTCCTGGCTTTAAGTGAAACAAAGCTGAAGGGAGTGGGAGAGTTTCAGTGGAGAGAAATAAATGGGATTAGGTCAGGGGTTTCAAATAGTTAGAGCTAAAGAAGGAGTAGCAATAATGTTGAAGGATAAGCTATGGCAGGAAAAGAGGGAGTACGAATGTATTAATTCAAGGATTATGTAGAGTAAAATGAAGGCTGGATGTGAAAAGTGGGTTATAGTAAGCGTATATGCACCTGGAGAAGAGAGAAGTGTAGAGGAGAGAGAGAGATTTTGGGAAATATTGAGTGAATGCGTGGGGAGTTTTGAACCAAGTGTGAGAGTACTTGTGGTTGGGGATTTCAATGCTAAAGTGGGTAAAAATGTTGTGGAGGGAGTAGCAGGTAAATCTGGAGTACCAGGGGTAAATGAAAATGGGGAGCCTTTAATTGAGCTATGTGTAGAAAGAGGTTTGGTAATAAGTAATACATACTGTATAAAAAAGAGGATAAATAAATATACAAGGAATAATATAGCATGTAATGAAAGTAGTTTGTTAGATTATGTATTATGGACAAAAGGTTAATGAGTAGGCTCCAGGATGTACACGTTTATAGAGGGGCAACTAATATATTGGATCATTATTTAGTTGTAGCTACAGTTAGAGTAAGAGGTAGATGGGACAGGAAGAAAATGGCAACAACAAGTAAGAGAGAGGTGAAAGTGTATAAATTAAGGGAGGAGAAGTTCAGGTGAGATATAAGCAACTATTGGCAGAAAGGTGGGCTAGTGTAAGTATGAGTAGCGGGGAGGTTGAAGAGGGTTGAAATAGTTTTAAAAATGCAGTATTAGAATGTGGGGCAGAAGTTTGTGGTTATAGGAGGGTGGGTGCAGGAGAAAAGTGAAGTAATTGGTGGAATGATGAAGTAAAGGGTGTGATAAAAGAGAAAAAGGTAGCTTATGAGAGGTTTTTACAAACCAGAAGTGTTGTAAGAAGAGCAGAGTATATGGAGAGTAAAAGAAAGATGAAGAGAGTAGTGAGAGACTGCAAAAGGAGAGCAGATGATAGAGTGGGAGAGGCACTGTCTAGAAATTTTAATGAAAATAAGAAAAAATTTTGGAGTGAGTTAAACAAGTTAAGAAAGCCTAGGGAATGAATGGATTTGTCAGTTAAAAACAGAGTAGGGGAATTAGTAGATGGGGAGATGGAGGTATTGGGTAGATGGCGGGAATATTTTGAGGAACTTTTAAATGTCCATGAAGAAAGGGAGGCAGTAATTTCATGCATTGGCCAGGGAGGAATATCATCTTTAAGGAGTGAAGAAGAGCAGGATCTGAGTGTGGAGGAGGTGCATGAGGCATTACGTAGAATGAAAGGGGGGTAAAGTAGCTGGAACTGACTACTTCCCGATAAAAGTAGGTCTTAGACAGAGATGTGTAATGTCACCATGGTTGTTTAATATATATATAGATGGGGTTATAAAAGAAGTAAATGCTAGAGTGTTTAAGAGAGGGGTGGGATTAAATTATGGGGAATCAAATACAAAATGGGAACTGACACAGTTACTTTTTGGTGATGATACTGTGCTTATGGGTGATTCTAAAGAAAAATTGCAAAGGTTAGTGGATGAGTTTGGGAGTGTGTGTAAAGGAAGAATGTTGAAAGTGAACATAGAAAAGAGTAAGGTGATGTGGATATCAAATGATTTAGATAAAGAAAAATTGGATATCAAATTGGAGAGGAGTATGGAATAAGTGAATGTTTTCAGATATTTGAGAGATGACATGTCAGCAGATGGATTTATGAAGGATGAGGTTAATCACAGAATTGATGAAGGAAAAAAGGTGAGTGGTGCATTGAGGTATACGTGGAGACAAAAAACGTATCTATGGAGGCAAAGAAGGGAATGTATGAAAGTATAGTGGTACCAACACTCTTATATGGGTGTGAAGCTTGGGTTGTATATGCTGCAGCGAGGAGACGTTTGGAGGCAGTGGAGATGTCCTGTCTAAGGGCAATGTGTGGTGTAAATATTATGCAAAAAATTCAGAGTGTGGAAATTAGGAGAAGGTGTGGAGTTAATGAAAGTACAGTATTAGTCAGAGGGCTGAAGAGGGGTTGTTGAGGTGGTCTGGCCATTTAGAGATAATAGATCAAAGTAGAATGACATGGAGAGCATATAAATCTGTAGGGGAAGGAAGGCTGGGTAGGGGTCGTCCTCAAAATGGTTGGAGGGAGGGGGTAAAGGAAGTTTTGTGGGCGAGGGGCTTGGACTTCCATCCTGTGTCAAAATATGTTAGATAGGAGTGAATGGAAACGAACGGTATTTGGGACCTGACAAGCTGTTGGAGTGTGAGCAGGGTAATATTTAGTGAAGGGATTCAGGGAAACCGGTTATTTTTATATAGCCGGACTTGAGTCCTGGAAATGGGAAGTACAATGCCTGCACTTTACAGGAGGGGTTTGGGATATTGGCAGTTTGGAGGGATATGTTGTTTATCTTTATACGTATATGCTTCTAAACTGTTGTATTCTGAGCACCTCTGCAAAAACAGTGATTATTGTGAGTAAGGTGAAAGTGTTGAATGATAATGAAAGTATTTCTTTTTGGGATTATCTTTCTTTTTGAGTCACCCTGCTTCAGTGGGAGATGGCTGACTTGTTAAAAAAAAAAAAGTAATACTCAATAATAATCATTGAGTCTCATGAAATGTCGTATATTACATTAACATAAACTTGTTCATTATTCCAGCTACGATATTTTTTCAGAATTATATAATAAACACGATATGTAACATATAAAGATGATAAATACACCCCACAGTAGAATGAATTAACATAAATATGAGATGTGGTAGCCAGACAACTTGTAGGAGTGACGGCAAGAATAACGTTTTCTCTAGTCCAGTGTAAGAGAAAATGTGTTACTGGGGGTAACTGTAGAAAATTATTCCTTTCGTATACCTTCACTCAGAGCATCATTTCTTCTAAAAATAGTGTTACATGAGAATGGAAGTGTTCCTCTTTATTTATTCTACCTTATCAACATAGAGACAACTTGTATACAAACCAGACGTGTTTGTCTGGTTTGTTTACAAAACTTGCGTTCGCCTGGTTTGTCTACATAACTCTGCGCCTGTCCTCTCATGTATTCATTCTCTCTTTCTCTCTCATTTATTCTTTATATCTCATTTACTCCCCTCTGACCCTACATTAAGGCAACAAATATTTTAAGATAAGTAATGAGTGAACTGTATATGCATTTTACTGCTCTGGGATGATTAAATGTCACAGAATATTGTGTGGGTGGGGTGGCCTGGTATGGTAGCCTGGCTGGCTACCATACCTACCACACTTGATTTCTTACAATAAATGCTACTCGTCTCACCCTAGAGTAAGACTACAAATATTTTATGATAAGTAATGAGTGTACTATATGTGTATTTTACTTTTTTATTGTTTTCTAATGCCTAGTTCTATTGCTAACTTAATATATGTTAGTGTAAACTTGTTACCTAGTATTTATATGCATTTAAAAGTGGAGAAAAAGGGTGTTAGACTTTACAGCAATTTTTGCTTTATGGTGGTAGCCTGGAACATAACATGCCGTATAAGTGGGGCCCTACTGAAAATAAATAACAAAAAGGCACAATACCGTGACTGGAACAATACACAAATAACCCGCACATAAAAGAGAGAAGCTTACGACGACGTTTCGGTCCGACTTGGACCATTGACAAAGTCACACTGTGACTTTGTCAATGGTCCAAGTCGGACCGAAACGTCGTCGTAAGCTTCTCTCTTTTATGTGCGGGTTATTTGTGTATGGGGCCCTACTGTATAGTTAAGGAAGAATTATTGAATTTTTAGATCTAAATATTATTTCTACTTATCATCAAAAAATTTCTTGCTGAGAAATGAACAGTTCTTTTAAATTAATTAGAGTAAGCTAATTTTCAGGAAAAAAAAGTCTTATAAATGAGGACAATCACATTTTAAGAGTCTAACATTAAGGTTTACAGAGCAATGACTCTTAATATTTGTAATCCTCTCAAATGTTAATCATTCTATTTTTGTCTACCTTAGGTTAATAATCAAAACTGTAATTCTTCTCTATCAAACTTATTGAAGCATTATAGCATGAACTAATAGAATATTCAGTTCTCTTGTATTCATTGTAAACTCACCTAATGACCATATGCACAAAAATTACTGCACCGTTATTGCCTTATTAATCATAAGTTAGTCGTAAGTTTGTGTGAAATGCTCTGCATATTAAGGGGCTTTTGGCTTGTACGCCCAATTGTTATACTCCTTTGTAAAAACATGTATCATGCTGAAATAAAATTATTATTATTATTATTATTATTATTATTATTATTATTATTATTATTATTATTATTATTATCATCATTATTAATATTATTATTATTAATGCAAGGACACAAATACAAAAAAGCACTTACCAATCATTATGAGATGTTGACAATTTCCTGTCAGCGATGAAATCACATGAGCTTCTAAAATTTCTGCTGCTTCTTCAATTATAACTGAAAGAAAAAGAGTGGTTAATTTTTCAGTTTTAAATACAAGCTAATCTAGTTCACTAGCTAATTTTTGTTTATTAGGCAATCAGATCATGCCGAGTCACAACCAAAAATATGTATATTATCTTGGTTGAATCCTCAATGATATTCTGAAGTCATTTATAAAGTTTTGGGATTATTATATTTTCAATATAATCATGAGGAAGTACCAAACATGCAGAGGTTATGTAGCAATCAAGAAATGGAAGACAATCCCCATGAGAAGAGGCTTCAGCTGGTTCCTCCTGGTTGGGTTAGATCCTTTAGGGTGCCTGTTATAGGCGCTGACATACAACTGGTTTGCTTGCCCCTCTGGAAACGACCAATTAACATCATAAAGCAAACTTAGAAGAGCTGATATTCTGCTTCTAGCCAGAAAGTGCATCAAAGTTCCAACTTACAAGAGGTCTTGGTCGCCTGTAGATTCTAAGAATGAGAAAAGCATGATAGTCTTGACAGAAATTTGTGAAGTGCTAGTCCTCTGTCTCAGCTGTGATGGTGCACTCTATAGATGCTGCAGCTTGTAAGGGAAATGTGCTCACTCTCTCCCACAAGTTGTCTGTTATATTCTTTGGTTGATCACAAACACTGAAAGCTTCCATATTTTGTGGATACCAGCAGATCTCTGGCTGATATGTGGATACTAGCATAGTTCTGGCTAAGGTGTATTATTTGGTATTTTCAATGTATGAAATAGTTTTGTAACATATATTTCTGATTTAAGTTGTTGTTGGATGTCAAGGTGTTTTAAGCAGGTATTTTCATGGAATTTGATCCATCTGATGTTAACACTGAAGCTGCCAATATAAATGAAGCTCGAGCTAGGCAGACCGGGTCAAAAATAAAGTGCGATGCTAAGATTTCACTCACTTGACTGGAAAAAGGGCCTTATAGATTCTTCCATCCAGGCGAATTATGAAGTGTTTGTTAGTGAATGTGAAGTGTTTGTTAATGAATGTTTAACAAGACAGCAACAGAACCTATTATAAAGACTTCACAAACTCAAACATGATAATAGTGATAAAATTAAAAAAATGTTTCACTTGTGATGGCACAATTATAGTGAAACGGTCAGACACGGGTCAAGGGTATAAAATAACAAATGAACATGACCTATTGAGTCTGGTTAATCCAAAAAACACACTGATGTCAACCATGTATAGTGCAACATGTATAGTGTAAATTGCCCCATTTGTTATAGCTTTTTATTGCTGAATATGTAGTGCCTTACTTCAATTCCTTGTTCTTTTTTTTCTATCACCAAGCTTGATAACAATATTATCAGTTAAAAGATTATATTGAAAAGTATTGTGCACTCATTTGTCTAGGAAAAAAGGGTATACATATATTTTTTTATATAGTCAACTTCAAGCTGCCTATTTTATTTACCCCCAAATTTTTTTATTATGAAGTAATTATGGTTTTCTTATATACTTTTGTTAATTAACCATAATAATTAGTTTTATTTGTTTTCAAATTAAGCGACTTCAAATGTCTTTGTTCTAATATTGTACTAGTTCTAGTATATACATATATTATTTACTATACTGTTTGTCAGTTTATATTATTCAGCAATACCAAGTGCTAAAGCAGGTGCTAATCAAGGTGCTCAGTCAGGCACTAAGTGTTATCTTTTAAGATTAGCTTATTATGCTCAGTAACTCGTTCTTTTTGTTTTAATTAATAGTCTCAATCCATATACTCATCCTTGATAATATAGTTGTTAGTAATAGCTTTTCAGTTTATTTTTTTTTTACAGCATATCCCATAGTTAATTTTATTTGATACTCAGCTGCATTTTCCATTACTCTTATGAATGCAAATATTGATCCTCATATTAACCTCTTGTTAAACAGCACAAATAATCTTAACAATAATTGTCATTACTACACTGCCAGTCAGGCTAAAACTGTACTCAGTGTGAACAAGAACATAACAATATCAATTACAATATCAGATCATTGAGTAAACACTATGATGACCTCCTTGCACTTGTTAATTCTCTAAATGTTCACATATCTTTTATCATTCTCACTGAAACCCGGCTCAAACATGATTTAACAGACATCTTTTTCTTACCTGGTTACACAGCCATACACAACTGCAGACCTGATCAATCAGGAGGAGGTACTGCTATCTACTACTCTAATGAACTGAAATGTATTGAATCTACTTGCACCAGGGATGAATATGGTGATAAATTTGAAAAATTCACATCCAAAAACCTAAAAAAAAAAAAAATAGTGGCTGGAGCAGTTTACAGTTAGCAGTTGGAGCAGTTTACAGTTTACATTTAGTGACAGCTTAAGAAACATGATAACTGATTCAGAGATAAATAAATACCGCCTGCTACTTGCTGGTGACTTTAATATAAACCTCATTCAAGCAACTGACCCCCAAGTACCTGATTTCACAAACACTAACAGCACTATGGACCACTACCCAACTTTTCTCATAACCAACTTAGGTAGACTGCCTCAGCAACACAACTAAGATCTGTTTTTGAATACATGATGAGTCTTTTTTTTTTTTTTTTTTTTTTCAACAAGTCGGTCATCTCCCACCGAGGCAGGGTGACCCAAAAAAAAAAAAGAAAATCCCCAAAAAGAAAATACTTTCATCATCATTCAACACTTTCACCACACTCACACATTATCACTGCTTTTGCAGAGGTGCTCAGAATATAACAGTTTAGAAGCATATACGTATAGAGATACACAACATATCCCTCCAAACTGCCAATATCCCAAACCCCTCCTTTAAAGTGCAGGCATTGTACTTCCCATTTCCAGGACTCATAACCGGTTTCCCTGAATCCCTTCACTAAATATTACCCTGCTCACACTCCAACAGATCGTCAGGTCCCAAGTATCATTCGTCTCCATTCACTCCTATCTAACACGCTCATGCACGCTTGCTGGAAGTCCAAGCCCCTCACCCACAAAACCTCCTTTACCCCTTCTTTCCAACCCTTTCAAGGACGACCCCTACCCCTCTTTCCTTCCCCTATAGATTTATATGCTTTCCATGTCATTCTACTTTGATCCATTCTCTCTAAATGACCAACCCACCTCAACAACCCCTCTTCTGCCCTCTGACTAATGCTTTTATTAACTCCACACCTTCTCCTAATTTCCACACTCCGAATTTTCTGCATAATATTTACACCACACATTGCCCTTAGACAGGACATCTCCACTGCCTCCAACCGTCTCCTCGCTGCTGCATTTACCACCCAAGCTTCACATCCATATAAGAGTGTTGGTACTACTATACTTTCATACATTCCCTTCTTTGCCTCCATAGATAACGTTTTTTGACTCCACATATACCTCAATGCACCACTCACCTTTTTTCCCTCATCAATTCTATGATTAACCTCATCCTTCATAAATCCATCCGCCGACACGTCAACTCCCAAGTATCTGAAAACATTCACTTCTTCCATACTCCTCCTCCCCAATTTGATATCCAATTTTTCTTTATCTAAATCATTTGATACCCTCATCACCTTACTCTTTTCTATGTTCACTTTCAACTTTCTACCTTTACACACATTCTCAAACTCATCCACTAACCTTTGCAATTTTTCTTTAGAATCTCCCATAAGCACAGTATCATCAGCAAAAAGTAACTGTGTCAATTCCCATTTTGAATTTGATTCCCCATAATTTAATCCCACCCTCCTCCCGAACACCCTAGCATTTACTTCTTTTACAACCCCATCTATAAATATATTAAACAACCATGGTGACATTACACATCCCTGTCTAAGACCTACTTTTACGGGAAGTATTCTCCCTCTCTTCTACACACCCTAACCTGAGCCTCACTATCCTCATAAAAGCTCTTTACAGCATTTAGTAACTTACCACCTACTCCATATACTTGCAACATCTGCCACATGGCTCCTCTATCCACTCTATCATATGCCTTTTCTAAATCCATAAATGCAATAAAAACTTCCCTACCTTTATCTAAATACTGTTCACATATATGCTTCAATGTAAACACTTGATCTACACATCCCCTACCCACTCTGAAACCTCCTTGCTCGTCCGCAATTCTACATTCTGTCTTACCTCTAATTCTTTCAATTATAACCCTACCATATACTTTTCCTGGTATACTCAGTAAACTTATTCCTCTATAATTTTTACAATCTCTTTTGTCCCCTTTCCCTTTATATAAAGGGACTATACATGCTCTCCGCCAATCCCTAGGTACCTTCCCCTCTTTCATACATTTATTAAACAAAAGTACCAACCACTCCAACACTATATCCCCCCCTGCTTTTAACATTTCTGTCATGATCCCATCAGTTCCAGCTGCTTTACCCCCTTTCATTCTACTAATGCCTCACGTACCTCCACCACACTTACATTCTGCTCTTCTTCACTCCTAAAAGATGGTATACCTCCCTGGCCAGTGCATGAAATTACCGCCTCCCTTTCTTCCTTAACATTTAAAAGTTCCTCAAAATATTCTCGCCATCTACCTAATACCTCCCTCTCCCCATCTACTAACTCCCCTACTCTGTTTTTAACTGACAAATCCATACTTTCCCTAGGCTTTCTTAACTTGTTTAACTCACTCCAAAATTTTTTCTTATTTTCATTAAAATTTCTTGACAGTGCCTCTCCCACTCTTTCATCTGCTCTCCTTTTGCACTCTCTCACCACTCTCTTCACCTTTCTTTTACTCTCCATATACTCTGCTCTTCTTATAACACTTCTGGTTTGTAAAAACCTCTCGTAAGCTACCTTTTTTCTCTTTTATCACACCCTTTACTTCATCATTCCACCAATCACTCCCTCTTTCCTCCTGCCCCCACCCTCCTATAACCACAAACTTCTGCCCCACATTCTAATACTGCATTTTTAAAACTATTCCAACCCTCTTCAACTCCCCCACTACTCATCTTTGCACTAGCCCACCTTTCTGCCAATAGTCGCTTATATCTC